AAGCTTGACCCATTTTAAGACGAAACTGTATAAAGAATCACTTTATAAAAATTAAATTCATAACAACACAAAATATTTTTAGACATGATAATATGTTATTATCAGTTTGATATATTTAAAAAAAAAATTAACCCTTTTAATTTATAAAACAATTAATACCTGAAGATCATTTGTATTAGAAACATGCTGACTATTGTTGTTAATACATATATAGTTATTGACGACACTTACAAAATAAAATCGTTTAAAATTAACATTGTAACGTATTTATTCTTTTTACTTTTTAAATTTGAATTAGAACTAGATAAGTTTATTAACAAACGACTATACGTACAGACATTGACATCACCATTATAGAAGTATTCACAATTACGAAATAAGCAAGAAAAATTGAAAACATTGGCGAGTATATATTACAAAACTCATTTCCGACTCTGAAAAAAATGAAATATTAGTTAGAAATTGTTATTAGAAACAGTTAATCTTCCCTATCGTTTCCTACGATCACCTCTGTATGTCTTGATGTCGTTGAATCCATATTTTTAAATGATTAGTAGTTTCCTCGTTTTCAATAATGTAACGTAAACTGTTTTTGAGTTGCATGAAACAACATTTGATTTGAGAAAGTGTAGACATATAAAAACAGTGTGCTGCTATAATTTTTAAATTTCCATAAAGTATAGCCAAGCATAGAATAAATGACAAAGGCCAATACGCTGTAGCATATTCACCCATGTACGGCATTCTCATGGGTGTAGCTAATTTTCTTTCAGTTCGTTCATCGACGGGAATAAATTCTGACCAATACGGATATACTAATGCTGATAGCGCTGTTACAAATGCACCAATGGATAACATCATGTGTTCTATCCTATCGAAGTAGAGATGTTCAATTAAAATAATAATGAAAACTGTATGAAATATAGGTAAAAATAAAATAGGACATTTTAGAAATAAATCCTGGTAGGGAGGTCTTCCAGAAATTGTGCGAGGACACCAAAAATATAATGCTTAATCTCCTCTTCCCTTTTCTTCCCGTCCCTCTCCTACTATTTCATCTCCTAACAAAGCCTACAAAAATTATCATGCTTCGATGTTTTAGTGCTTTAGCAGTGCAGTTTCTTTTTTATTCAGTGCTCAGCACTCACGTCCATATATCATTGCTGACTTTACTGCTGTTTCTCTTTTCTATTTACAACTTGCTCTCCAAACGCGATTGATTCTCTACCCCTTCTGAATCCTCCTCATTACTATACTTATATTCTAAGTATGCTGTTTTACAGCTTCTTATTTTCAAACCATATTTCAACGCCTTCCTATATTGCACTAATTTAAATCTTAACACTTCTGAACTCACAGAAACAGTAGACAGTAAAAAGTAGACACTGATTGCATCTCTTGTGTATTATTTTTTTGCAACTTATCATTATTTTATTATTAGTTTGCTCTCTAAATTCTTGGGCTGACACAGCCTACTATGTTCATCCATTACAATAATTAGTATTAAAAAACTACAATATTTGTATAAATGTAGTATTAACAGCTATATAATATAATCTATTTAAAATATTCATAATGATTTAAGTACATTAAACTTATCATAAAATAATTGATTATGTATTAAAAATGGAATATTATAAAAATCAATTTTGTATACCTGAATTCTTTTATGACCATATGATCAAAGTGTTCACCAAACAAGTCTCTTCGAAAGTCAACCGACACTTTGTCTAGGTTTTGCAAAGCTTTTTGGCTTCGTTTATAGTTCTGTTTTTGATATATTGAATTAAAAAGACCTATAAGTGATGCCGATCCAATAGCTGTTGATTTAAATCGATCCATTACATGATCCGAGTTGAGGAATGCATCTGTAGCAGTTACAAATCCAAGCATTAGCACCACTTCTGTCATTAAACAATACAGCTTGTACGCAATCCTTTGGTTAGGTAATGGCATTCCAGCCAAAATATTTAACACGTGTACTGTTTTGTTAAGGTGGTAAAATGTTGGTGAAGTCAAAGTCATTGCGAGGACTATTGAAGTTATGACAAAAATGGTTGCTTTCTCAGTAGGACTTTTACAGGTGTATCAAAAGACCGAATGCCAGGCGAGTTCGAACACGAACTCACCATTCCATTCTTATAACTATTATTAGATAATTTTTAAATATTTTTATGATTATTATTCGATACCTCGAGACATTGTACCACGGGTAATTAAATTAAACCCGAAATCGACTCATCGGTGACTAACATATTATTATTTTAATTATACACATCCTACAACAGTACACGAAACATAATAAAATAGTATAAAAACACAAAATAATTTGACAATTAATAATGAATATCTTAATAGGTGACGGTATAGGTAAGGAATTAGGATACTAAAATTTTCATACAGCATTCGTAGTAAAACGTATCGTCCTTGTCTATTTTTTGTTGTTCTTAATTAATAATTTATGTTCTTATAAATTATATCGAGGACACTAATTCAACGTACCATAATAGGTTATCTTATTATTATCATAAAAATATTTGTACTAAAAAATGTTTATGTACAACCTATGACATAATAATATGATCATCTCTTATTTTTTCTCGACGATTGGAGCTAACAGTGTCTATATTCGTCGTTTGATTTTCGAAAAGAGTATGTTGGGTAAACTTTGTCATTTCTATCAGTAAAACAAGTTTTTTATTTTGCTATCGATCAATCTTTAGTTAAACTTTAGTGAATTTCCAAAATTATATTTAATCAAGTCAGTTACGGAAAGTAAAATATATATTTGTCGTTAGATTAGAAAAGGTTTAACTTATACGTAGAAATTGCTTTACAATAACATTAAAAAAGGCAAATTACGTGAAGCTTAAGTTCATATTTTTTCATTAAAACAATTAGATAATTTAAAAATGTTTTATTACTATCAAGTACAAATATTAGTATTTTATGTGAAAATATACATTGTACTATGTATAAAGCATAAAAATGGAATATTATATTAATTAACAAAAGTTATAAGTTATATTGATTGATTGAATAGATTTATAATATTTATGTAAAGACATATTAAAGGTTGTCATGCTAAATTCAACATAATGGAATAAAGAAGTGTAATAACTTCCTGCTTATAGTATTATGTCGTGTCCAATATAAACTTAACCAGCTGTATTATTATAAATAAAACTTTTTACTAACATTAAATTACATATTATAATATTAAATAAAAGTCACGCACCTTAAACTTAAAATGGGTAGGCAGAATAACAAAACTATGTAATAGATATGAATTGTATAGATGAATATTTTATGTTATGCTTAATAAAGTACATAATTATTGATTAATAATGATTTTTTGTGTCCTTTGTTTTTATCCAATACACATTTGAGAGAGCTTTTATTAAATAATTGTATGCTACCCAAAATAGTATACCTATAGTAATTTTTTTTACCTAATGCAAAATCATTTTTTTTTGTTCTCTGTATTAACAAAACAATCTGTACAATATTTACAATACGTTTTTTTTTGTCGAGGATATGTACATAGCCTGAATAATTAACATGCAAGGAAGCCACCTTATGGTAACACCTCAGTAACTCAGTTACAAATCATATTTTAAAATATATTATTTTTTGAAAATTCAGCGTCGTTACTTATTAGTCAAATAAAAACCCTGTTATAATAGAATAATACATTTTTCGAAATTTAGATTTTTTTGTCATGGTTGTGATTTTACCTTCAAGCTATTTTTATGCTAATGAAATTTCTTTATTGGTTATTCCAATCGTTTGTAAGATTTGGTTTACATTAATATTATTATTATTTTGTTACACTTTACTTTATTTTATTTTACTGGAACTTCAATAACCATTGTATAATATGGGTTAGGTACAAATGTATAATATTTGTATAATGTACAATGTTTATTATTAACCAGAAACCAAACTATAAAATTAATATTGTAGAACAATGGTAAATTGTGAAAACAACTTTTTGGCAAATACAGTTTAAAATTATACTATTAGACTTGTATATGATACATATTGTACAATAGTATAAACACACTATGTATGTAAATGTAGGTATTATCCAGTTTAAATGATAAAATATTAAAACACAAGACAAACTGTTAAGGAAATTAGATATTATTATATTTTATCGGTTGATTAAATATCTGAATTACATATCTTACATATATGCATAATAATAATAATTTATAACAAACCCTAAACTTTTTCTAAAATACATAACTCTAATAAATGCATATTAATAATACCTAAATATATTTATACCTATAAACAATAAATTCCTTTAACTATGTTGACATCAACATATTTGTATGTTTATTAAGTAAAACGATTAAGACACTTAAATTATTAAGTCGTTAAAAATGCCATTATACTACAATAACCATACATTTGCAAATACAATGTAGGTAATGGACAATTTATTTTTCAAACTTCTATTTTGGTTCAAGCACAAATGTAATGGCAGTGTACTGTGGTTATTGTGTCCACATGCATTCCTGAGCCTTTGCGAAACAACGTGACTATCGTTAAGTTATCCTGCAAAATAAAATGAAAATATCTATAAATGGGTTTAAGCCGCTGACAAATATTGACAAAGCAATAAATGTATATATATATATATATATATATTTTAAAGCGTGCTTACGGCAGTTTATTTAAACGAGCAACCGCCTATTCACAATCCTTGTCTGCCGAAAAAATAAATGGAAAAAAAAACAAACACATTTAACACGTTTTCCTGTTTATTGACGTCCCTTTCTACGAATATTTTTCTAATGGCCAAAATCAGACCCATTTTCCTTTGATACGTTCCGGTCTGGATTTAATTGTCGCCCCGTCCGGAGGGAGCAGACGAAGAGGAAAAAAAAGGTTCACCACTTGACACGCTTACGCAAACGACATACAGGTAATAGTCCGATGTCGGCCGGCACCAGCCTACCTGAGACTCAAACCAGTGTGGCTCCAGTCGTGTTTGGATACTTGGAAGTGTCACATGGATTGATTTTTCTGATATTTTAGTTTTTTCCCTCTTTTCTTAGTCGAACGGCGGCAATCGTATCGATCATGTGTCTCTACGCGGTCATAGCTGTCCTCATACCATGCTGTTGTTGCGCTTTGGTTTCCGAAGACTTTGGCCACTCGCTACAGAGGATGTTGGATTTGAAAAAGTCGAAAAACTCCACTAAATCAAGGATACCAGGTTACATGTATAAACTGTACCAGGACACTGGTTCCCAGCAGTACGACATCATTAGGAGTATTCCGCCGAGAACGGGTAATTATAAAACATTTTCTTGACAACTTACCCGGTGTCTCACGCTATGCTGATATAGAAATTACATAAAAAACAGCGTGAGACAGCCAATATGTTCTTCGCTGAAGTATAAATCTTAAGAAGACTTACATTTAACATAGGGTGTATCTCTAGCTGTCTGATCTGGCAGAACTTTATATTTTTATATGTACCCAAACTGGCAACCTTTGTATTGCATTCATTCCACAATAATAACTGTCATTTTACATTATACGCTATAATATAATAGTAATTTAAATTAATAACTAATAATAATTGTTCATACGTGTTATACATCGAGATAGTATTCAGATTTCAAGTGTTATTTCTTAATTAAAATAATTTAATAACCTATTCATGTAAATATTTTTAAAATATTTTTTATAACTCATGGATATTACAATAAAAATAACTATTATGCGAGTATCGATGCGATGCTGAGAAGGTAGTAGTATTATTTTCATGTCCCAATAAGATCTTATAAATACAAACAAATACATATTTTTTTGTCTAATGTTTTATAGATGTATATCAGTTTTACCAGCTGACTAATTTTCAGCTCTCAAATCTTAAATTTGTGGTTAAAAAAACTTCCCTTTTATGTGTTGGTATGAGGGTCGGGTAAAATTATAGGTTTGAGAGCATTAACAAGACAGGGGCATACTTAACAAATATTTCTATTAAATTTAAACCCATTCTAATTCGAGAAGTTATTTCAAGTCAAAGTTAAAAGCTGGAAAATGTTCTACTTTCGAATTACTTTACCCGATTTTAATTGTGGAGGAGTACACTTTTTTAACTGTTGATCACTTAAAGTACCAATCGTATAAATTTTCTTATTGATAAAAATGCCACTGTAAAAACGCTCTGTTAGATTAAAACTCAAATAGTCACTGCTTAGAGCTCAGTGTACTATTATTCTGAATAGTCAAACAATAATAGAATACAGACGTAACGTAAATGTACTTTTGATTATAAAAGTCAACCCTCTTAGTCTAAATTGGAAATACATTTTACCAGTATGTATAACTGCAGTTTTACTATATTGATTTAATCTATATTAACTGATACTACCTTACAAATATAAAATAATTAACTTTAAAAGTATATGTATAATAAATTAAAGGAATGCATTAAATACTTTCGACTTGTATGTGATTTAAGTTTGGTGACATTTCAATAAGCACTACGAATAGTGAAGTTGAAAATTACTTTTCTTTTTCGAAATTGTTCCTACGTTTTTATGGGACTGATTGTTTAGTTGGAGAAGTAAGGGGAAAATAAAAGTTCATAATTAAGACTTTTACGTCTTGGTTACTTAGAGAAACTCAATTACTGTCAAAGTTCAATGAAAGAGTTGAACCAAATAACAATGGGAAACTTTTTTCGGATTTAGTGTATTGAAAACTTCTTTTGGTGCATTTATTGAAGTATAATGTTAAAGATTCCGTCTTAAGAATAAAATATTTATTATTTAACAAGCTAAAAATAATCTTTTTGTATACAATTTAAAAAAACTTCATTTTTATATTGGTTATTTTTAAAAATTGATTAATGTTAGGCTTATTACTGTTTTAAATCCCTAGCTGAGCGTTAAAACATAAAATGTTAAAGTATTTAATTAAAATCATCATTCCTTTTTATTCTAACATAATATTTTTAATATATCTTTGTTTACATAAATTTTAGTAGACATTTAGAATTTAATATACAAATATATATTTTATAAGTATAGTTTGTTGGTTGTTGACTTTCTAAACTTCAATATTAAAAATATCTTCAAAAAGAATTGTAACTTATACCTAATTAAGGTCGCATATTGAGAAGCCTGAATAATTCTTATTTAATTTCTTTAATCCATTCTATTTAAATTTAAAAAGTAAAAAAATTGATGATAAAATACACTTTTCTGTATTTTGATGAAACATAAAACAATTAAAAACTCAACCATATACAATATCATAAAGATTAGTTCTAAATGTATGGATCTCTCATTTTATATAGTTTTAAAATAATTATTTTTATTTCAATAATATAATTGAACATTAAATAATTGTTGTGGAAAAATATAAATACTTTTTTTAACTATCCGCAGTACTCTTCTTTTGTAAAGTAGTTAACATATTAATAGAAATAATCCCCTTCGAGGTCATTTAATTTACGGTACAAAAAGTTTAAATAGACATATTCTATCATTTAATATTCGAACTAGTTGGTAAATTAATGTTTCCTTAATACCTGCACAGCTTCAAAACAACGCAATTGTCATACATATTTCATCGGTTAGGCGCTTGAATGGGTGGGTTCTGACGCAATGTGCGTTTTGGGTTTACCAGTAGTTATGTTGTATAATAATATAGTGAAATGGGTGTGTATGTTTTATATCAGGACAGGAGACCTAAGTGACTATTATGTACATACTAAATCGGGAGGGTAAGGGAAACAATTTGAAAAAAAGGGTCGTTCTTAGAGTGTTTTGAATTTTTGGCGCCTTGTCTGTATTCAACTTCCGTTTAATTTGCGTGGCGACGCCGTCTGTACAGCATTAGGATCGTCTTTATAGCATCTCAGCGCCACGGATTCCTTAAGAAAAAAACAACTAATCGATAAGCGGCAGACTGCATTAAACGTTTTTCGTTTTATTGTATCTGGACAAAAAACAATCTTACTTTATGTTAAACACAAACATGTCTAATTACACCATTGTCGGATGTCAACGAGAGTTTGGGATTATTGGAGGGGAACAAGAGGGGTAGTGTTGAAAACGGACGGAGGGAGCAAGAGTGAAGACGACATATTTTAGTGTGCCACAGCGGTGGGCCTGTAGGAAACGGTCGTGGCGCCAGGGACAAAAGACTTTTGTGTCCAAGCAAAAATACAAAATATAAAATGCAGGTGCTCTCTCGTCGAGGGTCAATACGAAGAGGACGGTGCCTAATCTAATGGCCTGTCAATTGGTCCTCCGTGGACATAGCCATATCTCGGTCCGTCGCCGTCTCCGTCGCCATATCTACCACCACCGTTGCGGGTACCTAATACTCGTGTGTCCTGAACGTGCGGGTTATTAATCCTTTGTTAGTGGTACCTCCATTATGATGGAGTCCAGCGGGATTATTACATACACTTATGATATTGTGTATTGGAGAAAGACGGACGGAGGATTTCGCCTTGTCAGTCTAGACTACATGACAAATCGGATTTAAGGGGTTGAATACTTGAATGTGTGGTGTTATCTGTGACTCCCGGGCCCCGGCGGAGATACGAAATAGATAAACGGATTATCAGAATTAATGTGTTCGGGTACTACGAGGGGACATTTCGAGTCGCGAATGGAGAGATAATTGTCAGGTCTCTTCTTTCTCTCACAACACGTATTAGGCGATTGTGGACATATTATATGCGATGCATTATGGCGGCTGGCGAAAAATCACGTTTCTCGCTGTTCGAAATACCCAAGCGCTTATTTGTCAGGAAAACCCCTTACCCTAACAAATACCAACAATAAACAATAACAATTATAAGTCCATTAAAATGGCGACACATTATGTTGAACTGGCATATCCTTTGTTGTTAAATTATATAGTTTATAATGAACTCATCGTGGACGTTTTTTAAAATTCGATTTTTTTATTTTTATATTATTCTCATTAAATTATGAAACATTTCATAAATCTATAGCTAGATATAGTTGATTTTTTTTGTAAGTGTAAAATAATTTTTTTACATTGTATTGATGTTGTAACGTACCTACTTGTCTAGCTGGCTAGACTAGGCAAAGTGGCCGTCGATAAGGCTAAAATAGACGGATCCCACGGGAAAACGGTTGGCTAGGCCGTTGTCTACGTCTAATTGGCCTTAAAGTCTCCCTTATTAACTTAATATATCGCCCGAGGAGCTAGAACGGGCGGTCACACTGTTAAATAATCTAACTCTCAGCTGCAGGCTACAAGATGTTTTATTCTAAATTAGGGTTTCTAAATAAAATACAAAATTATACAATATATATATATATATATACACTCTGACCTGGGTTGGACGATGAAATGGTTGGTCAAAGCGGAGTTGAAACGGACGCACACAAAAGATAGTCGGATGGGCGGCTTGTAGTAAAACGGCAAAAATATAGAGCGCAAGGTCGAGGATATTGGCGGTCCGTGATGGTAAAGTCAACTGGTTAATTAGATGATACGCAACGTGCATTGTCCTGTGTGTGTGACCGTTCCCCTACCTGTAGTCGGGGGTGCTGTGTCAGTAGGTTTGGGACGCGAAGTAACGGTCAGGTGAAATATGATCGTTACAATGTAAAAAAAATATGGTCGAAACATAATATTATTTTTTCTATTATTTAAAATACAGACGAATATATTCCCATGTTAGTATCGTATTAGATTGAGAACTAGCAAACAACCATAATCACATAAAATATTAAAGTAGATATGCCGTAATTGTGTCAGTGACCGTGACCGAGTGTTGAACGGCTTGAAACACTTATATATGATTATAACGAAAAATCCAAATGAAATATTAATTTTGAATTCTTTAGTAATTTGTTTACTGTCGTCCATACGGCGTTCTATAACACCATATATACTTCTGTATATATTTTAATGAATACGGTTTTTTTTTTTAGAAATGTTGGGAGCTCATGCTTTGTATGTTTATGATTTGGAAGCACTTGAACGTACTGAAATAGTCCAGAAAGCTGTACTGCAAATCGATCCTAGTCAAAATAACCGGCACTTAAATCCTATGAACGTATCGTTTTACTCATTGACAAAACAATCGACATCAAAAACGTTTTTAGGTACTGCCATCTTAGTCAATAGTTTAGACTTGGCCGACACTTTAGGACCACGAATTTTGGCTGGTATATCCCGCCTAGGTGTCCAAATTAACGATCCAGGGAAACCTTCGATTGGTCTTGTGTTGTACTCAAAGAACTCGGCCGGTGGATACGCTAAAGCTCAAGAACTTGCCAAGTTATTATTCGAGACTTCACTGAAGTCCACTAGGAGACGCAGAAGATCAGTGGAAGACAATGAAGTCGTAGCCAATCCAGGTGATTTGACCGATGAATTAAAACGGAAAAAAAAGAAGAAGAAAGGACTAAGAAAAAACAATAGGCTACAGGTTAGTAGGTTTTTTTAAACTATTTATTTCGTAGTAAAAGTTAATTACTCTCTGCTAAGGTGTCTACTATCTATTTACTATTCATAAGTTTATTTTAATTTAAAAACAACATAGTAAATGTCCCAATAATGAGTTAGAAAACAAATTGTAGCATTCATTATGGCGAGACACGAGACATTTTATTTGTACATTGGACGACTAGTATCTTAAAGTCCATTAGATATTGAGTCGTTTTAAAATCGTAATTTATGTTTTCTAATAATACTTATACAATTATTTTTATTCATACGTATAAGAGTTTTTTTAAACAGTAATAATTTATGAAGACATTTTATTAAAAAATTATAATCATCACAACTAGCGTACCACATTTTATCTATACTACAGTCTACATATTACTATCAATATATACTATATACGCTACTGTCTTATAATAATAACCTGTTTAAAGGTAATATTTAATTTAAAACTTGATCTTATTACAGTAATAATATGCAATAGCCATTAAAAGTTTGCATAGTTTCGGAAGGTAAATAAAAATGTTAAAAAATAAAATGTCTTTAAACATAATTCAAATAGTATTCAAAAAAATAATAAAGTTGTGGTTGGACGTTATAAATTAACTTATTAATTTTGTTTAAGAATTGTATGTATACTTCTCTCTTGAATAATGACCAGCAGTAAATAATAATGTAATTTATTAAAAGGAAGTTGTTTTTGTACGACATCGACGTCTTATTTATAGTACCTATTTGATAAATTACACAAATTAGTAAAGATTTACTTGTTACTAATAACTTATAATGATACCACTCTCTGTTGCTTATTAAGTAGGTCAAGTATACATTATACAATTTTTTGATATTTTGTATACAACTAATTAAGTAAAATAATTGATCGTATTGGTATAATATTATGTTCTTCAGTTTTAACATTTAATAAACTATATCGAAGTAATGGTGAGGCGCAGCAGTTACCACAAGTGACACTTGGCAGACAAACAGCTGCATCTGTCGCTGTTTAAAAAAACATACATAATATCAATCAATAACAATACTATTATTATGTTTGATTGAAGCTAATATACTATTTTTAATGTGCAGATGGCCGACATGGGCGATTCAATACAGTTCACCAATGCGGATCAGTGTCGAATGGAAAAGTTAGTGTTGAACTTCGCCGACATTGGCTGGGAGGACTGGGTGATATATCCAAAGCAATTCGAAACCAACTACTGTGCCGGAGGTTGTTTGTTTCCTTTGGACAAGAACTCGAGACCTAGCAACCACGCGACCGTCCAGAGTCTGGCTAGATCATTTGGTCGTCTCTGGGACATTCCTGAACCGTCGTGTGTCCCTGATTCCTTAGCCCCGCTCACCTTGCTCTACACCGACCGATCTAATCATGTAATGCTCAAGAGCTATCCCGACATGAAAGTGGTGACTTGCTCGTGTAAATAATTATGATACAGCACTTGCTCTTTTGGATTGTAAAAATAATGTACATGCATCTTACAAAAAGTAAAATTAGTATTAATAATGTATTGAAAGACGTGTTGTATATTAGGATCAATTGTTTGACGTTGATCGCAGTATTGGGATTGATCTGCATGAGCTTGTAGTCCACAAAATGTATAATTTATTATAATATTACTTATTATTGATTATTTATTATTTGTTTTTAAAAACCTTTTTTTGTGTATATTTATGTACTAACCACCTATTGTTGGAAACCAATGTTATTTTGTGATCAATAGTTTAACATTTTTTCTATTTATTATTATATTGTTGTAATTATCATACATATGTATATAATTTAATTTACCATAAGTCGTGTAAATATAGTTCAACTTTTCAATTAATACCAGTATACAATATAATTATACATAAACATTATATTATATAATATTTTTAATATAATAATATATATTTATTATATTAATTATATCAACAAGTATGAAATAGCTATTTATTAAAAAAAATCTGATGACTAAAAGAAAGTTAGACAATCGCAGTACTAGGCAGCGATATCATATTATGCATTAGTATTTTTTAAATAATAATTAACTAATATTATTATAGCATAGTAATTCAAAAAAGGTTTAATAAAGCACCTAATACATTTATTTTGCCAAATTTGTAATAGCGCAATTGAGTTATTAAAAAAAAAAAAAAACAATAGAAAATATTTTGTATTGGTACATTATATATGACATTTTTTGAGTTTTAATCAATAAAAATATTTTTTTAGATCATATACTATTTTTATTATTTAACTTTTAAAAATGTAATATACATTAATATGTTTATAATAATTAAAATGAATAAGTAATAAAGTACTACTAGGCTTAACATAAAAATATAGTGGGACTATGAGCACATACAATTTTCTCAAAATTCTGTAGTCAAACATTTATTTTTATTTTTTGGGAAGAACAAAAAAAAAAGCATCACACTATCGCCGTATAAGACAACCAGGTTGCTATGTGTGCACGAATAGTCAACTATACTCAAGTTCGACGAAAGAATATAGTTGCGCATAAAAAAAAAGCATTACTCTAGTATGCGCCTGCGTTATGCGTTTTTATTTCTGCGTAACCATATTCACTTGGTAAACGGTATAGTATCTGAAAAATTATTTTCATTTTCGATTACGCGGTGTATTATGTGTTACAACAGCAACAAGTAATAAATGTAGACCGACCTTAAGATGGTTGAGAGTGGACGGGTTTTAAGGAGTTTTACATGGGCATATTTAAGAAAAAAGAGGTTTTAATCAGTTTTGACCGTGTCAATTTATTTGAAGATTAATTATTTGTGTAAGCTTTAAGGTATTATTTTTAACTTGTACAAGTTTTGCAATTAGTGAACGCTTTATTGGTGGTATTTTATACTTAAAAGCCTGACAAAATTACTCCTGATCTCAGTTCTGTAAAAAAAATCGATTTCGATGTCTACTTTACTAGGATATATAGAAAACGGATTTTTATTTGTTTTCATTTTTTCATCTTAAAAACAATTTTTTTTTTATATAAAAAAAAAATCCGTTACCTACACAAACTAGCAAAGTAGCCAAAAAACTCGTATCTATTAACAGAATTGAAATCGAACCGTCCTAAGTAGGTGTAATTTTGTCAGGCTCTTAAGTCAAAAACGTAAAAAAATACACCTCTTTGAATCCCCTAAATCATATTCACCCTAATAACAAGAATAATATTTTAAGAATGTTATTGTATTTACAATGTTTTTTTTCATATATTTAATATGATAATCATTAAAGATATTTGCATGGAAGTATTTATTTAAAAGTAATTTTATCACATTCAGTTATATTAATTCTTAAAGACTTGTGACCTCCACTACAATATACTATGTCTCGACCCCACTGTGATGACTTTTATTGTTAATACTTAATACATTTTATACTTTTCAGACAAAAAATACGAACATTAAAATATACGTGTTTACTTAAGTTGAAATAGATGAAAAGCCATGGTAAAGTAATAAATAATAATTTAATTAAATCAGAACTGGTCCGCAGAATAAAAGCTATCATGATTACAGGATACAGAGTACAATCACAAAAAACTCATACATCATTGTAAAACCTATACCTAACGTGCTGCTTCATACAGAAGCTAAAATAGTCAAGATTGTCATACTTACACAATGGACACACTATGTTTCAGCACATTTACAACATGTAAAATAAAAATAACTAGTTTATTTTACTTTCCCATACTTTATTACAGAATTTGTTATGGCTGTAATTTCCTGAATTATTATTTCGTTGTTTATATTTTTGCATCGAAGTGTATATTTTATAGGTGATAATATGACTTCAGTTCTAATAACTAACTGAAGAATTTTTGCTTGCTCAAACCCAATTTTCCTCCCAATTAAAGGATGTCTGCTAGCTTTATTTTTTAGAATGTGAAAATTTATATAATATTACTTAGGTTTTTTTTTTGTGATCATACAAAAACACGTTTAAATTGTAGCGAAAAAGTAGTGTACGACATTTAAAAAATAGCATACAATTTGATCCCTAGTCCCTACATTTTAAATGAAATAAGGTTAGTAATTTCGTATCTATTTGTATCATTAATGTGGCGGTATCGTTAGCATTTTACAAAAAATCTAGCGTCTCCATCACTGGTTAAGATAAAAAAAATAATGATGTTCATTATCATTAACATTAATAATCATTTCACATTTATTTTTGGTGTTATGTACAGGATAATTGGTTAATTATGACCTAGTCAATATCTTAAAAGATATTGGACATTTTAAAATAATGCTGTTTCATTTATATTTTTATAGTTATTAGATGTCAAAATTGACATATTTTTCCACAATCTAACCACATCCCTTATAATATGTTAAAACCCCTATAAACTTAAGAATTTTAAATGATAACGTATTTATTATTTTAATTTAAAAAATGAAAAGTCATTTTTTTTAAATGTTGACTAGTCAAGTACTAATTTTTAATAATTACTTTTAATGTTATTAAAGTTCATAACTTAAGAAGGTGAAGTGTGGTTGAGTAATGCACACAGATAAAAAATAATACCATACTCCATCCTTTTTCCCGTTAATAATTAAAACATATTAAATTAGTTAAAACTTTAAAAGAAATTTTTCAAAACTGGTTATCGACGAGACGAAATTGTTAGAAAATTATTCTTAATTTAAAAAGTTAATAAAATATATATGTTACTATTTAAAAAGATTAAGTTAATAAACACAAAGGATGGGGTTATATTTTTGAAAAAATATTTTAAAATTTGGTGAACTATTAACTATAAAAGTATAAAACAAGTATAATTTTAAAAAGTCTATTATCTTCTAAAATTTTGACTGGGTAATAGTTAACCAATCGCCCTGTTATGGTAGATCTTGCAAAATATATTATTACCTTTCCTGTATAACCTAATTTAGTTGCATATTCCCAATAGCTGCTGATGCTGAAGCCTGTTGGCTGTAATTGCAATTGATTTTAAATACTTACGCGGGTTAACAATTATTCTCTTATTACCGTAATTATATTAATTTACTATTTTAAAGCGTTCTGGGTTTGTGTAAGTGTGGTTGTTTATAGTATTGCTATTTTTAAGATAACAATAAAATTGTAGTGAATGGTCATACATCATATAATAAGAGTATGGTTTGCATATTATTGCCATTGGTAGCACTCTATCAAACATAATAGTTTTGTTGAATGGTGAAATGTTGTAAAGAAAAAAAGAAAAGAAATTGTTAACACCTATGTTTATTTTGTGACAACAAGTTTGCGTACTTGAGACATGGAAGTTGGAGAGGGCGACGATATGCAGAAGTGGGACGACCGGTGAGCGCCGCATCAGTAATGAAATCGGATGGACGGTTCTGTGTAGACTAGTCGGGCGTTAGTGACCGATACGTTATTCAATCGTGGATTGGTAGAAGTTAACGTGTGCACTTAAAAAAAACAACAAATCAGCTAATCGTAAATAATAGTAATAATAAAAAATAATAAGTTAACGCTCATATTTGTGCTATCATAATAATTCAGTTATAATCGATTTTAACATTTTAGTTGTTGTGGTCCTGTTGAATTATGCCCGTTTCGAGAACTTCAAACTCATCGCTTAGTCGATGGAAAATAGTAAGTCGATGTTATTTTTTAAATACTATTACTTCTTGCTTATGAAACGCATATAACGTAGGCGATTTATTTGAATTAGATGCTCAACTTTCATTACAATACGCATATCTACATTGTCTTTTTATATTATGATTTTGTTATCCTATCATGAGGAGGATGTTATATTATTATACAAGTGAAAGACCCGATTACCCCGAGGTGGATAGAGAGTTGAATTATAAGCCGTGGCGACGTTACTGGATAGTCCGAGCTATCAAGATTTAACGTGCGCACTTGGCCATATTGTGCTGTTGTACGTTGATAGTTTTCACAAAACTTGTTTGTAGACAATACTAACATTGTAACGGCTACATAGACTGAGCACGAAACAACCAAGATTTTTTTGTCGTCTCTCCTTTAAAGTCTATAAATTTATATCAATATGCTGCGGTATTTTAAGTAAAAACCGTTGGAAAGCAAATGATATACAATACTTGCGTAGTATCATTGCACAACCTTTTTTTTTTAACCGGTATTGCATTATAAAATATGTAACCATGACAATTTTTATGACTAAGACGTTAGCATTGTGATTTTGTAGTAATTAAATTTTTACATCTTATATACATAACACTATGTAGTCAAATGATAATATGTAGGTATTGATTGACTGGATTGACAAATTAAGTGGACATTGTTTAACTAAATTAAATTAGAAATTATATAATTATTCCAAAGACATTTCATTTTAATTTTTAAATGGTTAGCAAACAAATATACACTGAGTTAACTCAATAACGCTTAATTTAGTTTTGCCTAAAACAAACTCATCTCCGGATTGTAGAATCTTACTATACTGAACTATATTCTCAAATTGTTGTAATAAACGCTTAGCTCGTTATGATTAATGTATTTTATTGAAAAAGCAGGATTTATATCAGGCATATCGTCAGATTTGAGATTATTTGCTTTGATATACTCATACTATTAAATAATATTCAATTAGCCTAAAAAGTATGTCATAGATACGTTGCACAGATAATAATAGTGTATTGAGGAATCAATTAAGATCCTAATCGAATAATTGTGTGTTTTTTTTTCGATGTAAGACTATTTTTGTAAGTATGTAACCAATGGTGATATGACTGAAACTTTTTGTACTTAAAAAAAAAAGAATTTTGCCAAAAACAAACAATATAAGGTACAGAGACACGATACATGGTATGACATTAGTTATACAATAAACAGTATAGGTAAAAGTTCTATAAGTACCTCGACCTAATAAAGTGTTTTCAAAAAAGAAAACGTCTACATGGCCTTTTAATAGGTTTTTTTTTACATTGGTATTGGTATTATTATTATAAATAACCTTGTGTGCGTGCTTACTATACTTGTACAACATTATATTTTACATATTACACATTTTAGAAGACCTTATGGATATTTTGAGCGTTCACTGCGGGTATGCCGGATAAACGAAAAATATGATAAATGTGTCCCTGGTGGCAAGATTGAGTAGGAAAAACGGGGACAGCCGCTGTGGCGTTTGCGAAATTGGGCAACCGGCTTTTATAATTTCAACTCAGTTTCAGAGATTCGTGATAGATAGACGGTCGCGGGATAACTTCTAATTTTCGAGTTAGCCGTATAAAACCAAATTTGGATGCTAATTGTTAAAGCGTGCAAGGGTGAAATAATCGAAACACATCCAGTAAAGAAATTAGTATAAATCGTGTATATTTTCTCAGAGTTCCATACGTTGTCAAATGACAATAATAATAATAATAATTATAGTATCAACGATTTCGAGTGACGGGTTAACCTTTCGGTAAGATTATACATACATTTTTTGAGAGATCATGACTAACAGTAAACTTGGGTTTTTTTCTCTCCGAGGCTACAGCGCTGATCTCACGTTTTTATTGAAAATCCTATCATTTTATACACGGCAAACATGAATTACCAAGTTACTAGTCAACAAAGAAATGTTGTTTATATTCCAAATTTCTACCCGCGCGTACTGTTTGCTTTTTAAGGACCGTCTTACGAAACAATAATAATATTACCATAGGTATATTTTGTACAGCCATCAACGCGCGTCAATGAAAATAAACGGTTGTCACTTCCGTTTCATCACAACAGTATTAATACACTATTAGTATACTTATAGGTAGTCGTCTCATTGTTACGACGGTTACTTTCTGTTTGCGCAACTGTCCAGAGATGCACACACGTCATAGTGATGAGAATTATGCAGACTAGTAATAGAATCAAACCACGTAGATAAATGCGCGAAATTTCCCTAAAGCCGTTGACTATCATCGTAGTCATCCCATAAAAAATATTTATATTTTAAATATACTAAGTATGATAGACACGCTACAACTAAAATCTATAAAAAAAATTATAAAAAATACATTACGCAGATCTTAATTCGTGTACATATTTTTTATTTTAAATTACATTTTCAATGTCGGTATACAAAGATTAATAATTATTTATACAATTTGTATAATTGTAAATTGTGTTATAATGTTGACATGATATTTTGACACTTGCCTATTTTTTACAATCTAATCAATAAAAACTAACGGTTGGAGACGTATTTTTTCACCACGCGTATGGCTAACCCGTTGGAACGTAATAATAATTATTTTTATTTTTATTTTGCAATAATTATTGCGATACTTTAATGGTTTGGGGTCGCGATCATCGATCAGGTGGCAAGCGAAACATTCGATTAAAACACAAGTGCTAAAATACTAATTTCAATGTATTAACATAATACCGTCTATATAGCGGCGTTTAATAAAATAATAAAAGCTAGCAGTACGATTGCTCAATAATACTGACAATAATATAGTACTTTCTCCGGGACATTCCCTCGTGCACATCACTAGACCGCAGTGCACTATACGCTTTATTAACATTTATTATTACATAACAATAATGGCTATATGTACACCAGAAACACACACACATTTTATATGTATCCTGCATTGAGTAAATACCGTCGTCGCAGTGCAATGTTATTACTTTATACGGTCGACGGTTCCTCCGGTTCGGAGACTTCATTATTGTAATTTATATATATATATATATATATATATATCTTAAAATTATGTATAATATATATAACATATCACACAGAGAGCCGTCACAGTATAATAATCCCGTCATCCGTCATAGTGATATTCATATTTAGTACGATTGGTTTTTGATGAAATAATATTATATTATACCGATTGTATTAGTTTACTAATTAATGTATTTGAGTATAATATTATATAATTATGTGCGTAGTAGTAACTAGAAAATATTTTATAACGTTTTAACGGAAATTTTATTTACATACTGTAATGCAATATTTACAAGCTAATAACATCTACCGTCGAAACTTTTTAATTAACAACAATATACTTACATCATGCGGCGGACGCGCACAGCTGCCTAGTGGTGAAATAATAATTCATATTGTGCTCCGTAAGACGATATCATATTATTATTATTATTATGACATTATGTCTGTGCCGTCGACCGAGGTGTTAAGTTGTTTTTGCAACGATATCGCATAGTTCAAATTTGTGTTCTGGTGTAAGTAACTACTCCCAAGGACCGCAGTCCAATTAAAACGAGTAACACCGGTACAGATCCCGTTGTTAACGAGTCGTCATATTTTGACATAACGCTATTCTAATATTATTATTTTTAACGACCAAATGGTGTCGAAACGTGAAAATATATTATATCAGATATATATATATATTTATGTACCTATGTATATGGCCAGTGGTCATTCATGTAGATATCTCAAATCTCACATCTCTCTCGATGTAGGTAAATGATAAATTCGGAAACGGCAATATTCATTAGAAAGGAGAACAATTAATTTCCATGATATTTTTTTAATTTTCCTTTTTACATAATAATAATAATTATTATTACTGTTGTTATGCTATTTTAATTTTCGATTGTAAACTATTATCACTTTTCACACATTTTCTACAAAAAAAAAAAAATGAATAATTATTATAATGCGTGTGTACGTTCGGAAGATTGTTCTGTAACAAAATTAAAGAGTTTGGCTTCAAAAATATTATAAATATTATGTTAATTTATATATAATAAATATGATAATTAATGATTTTAACGGTTCAGACGGTTTTTAATGTTCGCAATCTCTATCGTTTCTAAAAGACGGTCTCCTTGCCGGTCAACCACTGGTCGAGCCACGCAGCTATCCTTGAAAATGCAATAGTATAATATCAACACACTATTTGAACTCGTGTACACACAAGCCGGCTATACCTAATACTTTCACTCATTTCACTTTCTACCGTGAGTAAATGTTAACGTCCGCCGTACACAGTCACTACATGTATAATATCCTGTATAATGTTCACTGCACACTTTTTTGAAATCGGAATTGTTTCCTTTACAGAATATTTATGCAAAAATTTGAAACTTCTACTAGCATACTGTATACATAATATTGCCCGTCTTATAAACCGCTATTTGTCGGACACGGGACATCAAGACAAACAGCGATACTGGCATTTATATATAAATACATACACACGTACAATAATATTGATGATAAAATTATTTTACGAGATACGGGTACATGTGATTTTTAAATAACATAAATTTACAAAAAAATCGATAGAAAATGATTTAAGTCTCTAATAAAATTCCCAGATCGTTCGGTTAATGTTTCAAGGCGCGTTCTCACGAATCAAGTTTAATTGAACGGTTATAATAGTGCAAACAAAAGTTTAATGAAATCTGTAGTGAAAACTTTTGTTTCAATCAAGTTGATCAACTGTTTTGTGGACCAAGAAAATATTGACCCAGTCAAACTTTATCGTTTAAGTGTGTCATTTGCTTTCAAGTTGAAACCTGTCTTGAAACGTTTGTGTATTTTTAATTCACGCAAATCAAAGTATATTTCTTCAAAACGCTCTTAATCTTGTCTATAGTAAACATAAGGTAAATAATTTAAAAGTAAATCTAAAAAAATGTCAAAATAAACATTTTTTTTTTTTTTAAAGCGCTTTTTGCTAATCGATTTATTGAATTAAAATTATATGATATAAAAAAAAGGTGATTACACAAAGAAATTTTAGTTTTTTTACCAACATTTTTTTGTATAAAACAATTATTTTACAAAAAATTGCAATTTTTACTTAAAACATTAACTTTGTTTGTTTGTTATTTATAGATTCATTAAAAATCTTACTTTTAATTACTTTGAGCTTACTCGATCAATTCGTTTCCGAGATATACAATGATCATTGCAAGACAGTTTGATTTAAATGACCTTCAAAAAAATAACTAAAACTTTATACATTTATTAATGATATAGATTTTAAAAATCTGAGGACTTGTTTTGAGGACGCATTATTTTAGGGGCCATTATAGAGATGTAAAATCTGGAGCTCTTTTGCTTTGAAAATCAAGAGAAAAGTATTGGTTGTAGAGTGCTTAAAATATTTCATTATGTAAGAAGAAAAATGTATTCAGTATTGTAAATTAAATTTGACGTTTATAAAAAACAATAACATTTATACATTAGGGGTATCCTTATTTTGGGTTTGGGTCTTTTAATTGGTTTTAAATGGTTAACAAATGCCACAGAAAATGTTTGTAGCATTTTTAATAAGTTATGCTATACATAAAAAATTATTGTTGTTATGAAACTTTTGATCATTAAATTAATTAGGTTCTAATTAAATACAACTATTTAAAATAAAACTTCATTTTTTATATCAAATATTAAAAAGTTGTTTAAAATTATTATATGAGTTGTATCATTAAGAGGACGATTACCATCTATTTATTTAGGAGTTAGGAATAAGTAATTTAAATGTAAATGTTAACTGTGGTGTGTAATTATTAGTTTAGTAATTAGGACTCTTTTATGTAGTTAATTTATTTTTCAGACTATCACATAAATCGCTGTCAAGTTTAATGTGTTTCTTATCTAAGCATAGCTACGCAAAATACTTTTTACTCGGCCCAAAGTGGGTTCAAAGCAAAAACACCTATTATAAAATCGAAAGATAACATTTTGGAGACAACTTCATATTCGATTTGAAAAATAATAACGCAAGCAAATGTTATAGCTATTTGAAAAATGTGATTTGAAATGTTGAATAAATATAAGCTAAATATTAGGTTAATCAATAAAAGGATATGCCAGTGTCTTTAAAATCTTGTCACTTTCGTTTTTGTTATAAGTGTTTATGCTCTAAAATTATCTCGGAGAAAAATTGTGTGCATGACGTTCTCCTATTGAATTCGTGGAGGGATTTATATTCGAATAAGGCTTTCTAAAATAGTATTTGAGATTTTAACTACGACCATTAGGTTAAAATATACGTATGAATCAAAACGTCAAATACGAACGTTTGGAGGGACCCCCTGTGGATTTTTTCCTTTATTATTTATTTATAGTAGTATCTTTGGTCATCAAAAAAAGGCTTAAAAATATACTCTATGTAAGATAATCTCAGCTCTCTTTTTTTTCTGGGTACCTAAAAGTCATCAAAATTGAGTTTATAATCTAAAATGTCAGTTTTTTCGTATTGCTCAAAATTTGAAAATTTTTTTCAAACTGGGTTCTCCATAAAAACGTACAGGAAAAAAAAGAGATGAAATTTCATTGACCAGTTGAAAAAACGGGAAAAATTTACCTTTAAAATCAAAATGGTTGAAATAATTATGATTATAAATAAGATAATTTTCCGTTGTTTCGATTTTTCTATGAAATTATATAACAATACATATTATTAATTATAGTATTAAGCTAACAAAAAAATTTTCTTTAGAATAATTTTTAAAAATTGTGATTAGTTGTAGATATTGATGAAGTTAAAAAGTTACAGAAGTTTTTTTCTGTAAAAAGTGTATGGTATTCTTTTCTCACAATTTTAACTTTTTTTAAAAATATCCCTTGAAATAAGTTTATAAAAAATATAGAAACCCTATAATGCTATCCATATAAGTGTATGTAACACCGTAATTCATACTCTGGGTTTGAATAAAATATAATATGATAATAATTCATATGTATTTTTTACCCTCTTTTAAAACAACATCAAAAACACGTGTTCCCGTTGCAGTTTTATTTGGTATGATTTACGTTACCTTTATTGCTATGTACTTAAATTAAGATTTACGAGTTTAGGCAGGAACATTTTTTCATAGAAAATGTGTATTTAAATTATACCCAGACACCACTAGGTTTTTTCTCGGTTAAGTGCTCCTTTGTGGATTTGGCTATGAATTTAAAATGTGCATGTAACACCACACCATATTTTGTAACATTTCTTCTATTTTTGTTAAAAAAATATGGAATAAATGCTTGGGAATATATTTGTGGATCGTATAAAATTTGTATAATATTCAAATTTATCGAGATTCGTTAGAACAATTAAAATTCTAAAAAAATAGCTTGTCAATAATTATTCTGAAAAGTCACTGTTTAATTGCATAGGTTTTACGTCGATTTTGAACTGATTTAAAAGAAGTAAAATAAATCACTTTTAGAGAGTATAATAATTTAGAGAAACTTAGTGTATGCGGCTGCCATCTGGCTGATATGGTCCAAGCCTCTGAAATATGATGTGAACCACGAGATGGCGCTTGTATATTGTCTTCGTTTATTTATAGTATAATTCATATGAGTGGTTTAATACATAGAGGGTGCCACGTTTTAGTTACAACAAGAAACCCTCTTTCAAATAATACAACGCAAATTACCTACACCGTCCACCGACCTAGTCAACATTTTAAGTAAATTGTTCTTATTTTAAAAAGTTAATAAATTGTATATGTTAACATTTAAGATTCAAAAGTTGATATAAGAATAATTCATTTAAGGGGGTTTAACCCTATGATATATATATAACTAATAAAAAGTTACTAGAAAAATTCTCTATGCTTTCGATATTTTTTTTTATTTTTCAATCCATTCTTGTCTTATATGCAACAATTTCAGATTTCATTTGGACGTCAAAATATGTCCGGCTGAATTTTCGATGTATAATAATAATTTTTAGTGTTTCTCAAATTAATATTTATTAAAAATAAATACATATTAAATATTGTCCTGGTATCAACTATTATAAAAGTAATACTAAAGTATGCGACTAAAACCATTTAAACATTTTTATTCTTTAAAATCAAAGTAATTTTGATTGTAAAGTATATTCTGTAGCCAATACATATCTTGTAAACTAGAAAAATGTATAGTTACATTATTTTTTGGTAACCAGATCATTTAAATTCTACCTTGTGCTTAAAAATTAAAATATTCATTTTCTACATGCCTGAACTTTTGTAACGACATTATGTGCTTGCTAATAATTGCAAACATGTCTTTATAAACACTCACTGTTAGATTATTATAATGAAACTTGGTTCGAGGTCTTCCAGAAATACTATCTCGTAACACCACTAGTGTCGATGTCTTTAACTTTCTCCCGATTTCGACCTTGGTTTCGGTTATAGTGTCATAATGTATTGATATTAAAAATGTATATAATATGTAATTATGTATATATCATTAACTATTTATGTAATGGTATAATGGATTAAGATTTTTAGGAATACTACGAAAATATTAATTTTACATTAACTAATTGATTTAAACTTTAAAATTATAATCACGCTTTTTAAGATTGAATAACGAGCTGACAAGAATTGACAAATTGTTTTTAACTATTTATTGTGTCAATAGTATAATCATCAAACAATAGTTTGAAATTTGATTAACAGCCACGGTGGTGATTTAAATTCCAATATTCATATAATCAACTAATTTCAAACTATTCAAATAGTCATTACTATTCAAATCTCAAAAAATGGAATTGGAATTATTCGAATATTTAACACTAGTTACAACATTACTCAAATATGAAGGGTTCAGGGGAAAGACCAGCAAAGTCACTTTTTTCTAATGTATGAAAAACATGTTTATGCAAAGCTGAAAAATATTTTAAAATGTTAAAAAATACTTACAACTTTTAAAAAAAAATGTTAAATTTTCGTTTATAATCGTGCTTTAAATAAAGAACAGATTCGTTTTGTATCAAAACGAATTTTATAACAACATATTGCCATTTTTTAAAAGTGACTTTGCTGGTTTTTTCCCTGTACACTTCATACGAGTCCGCTCCTAAAATATAATTTCCTGATACAAAACTGAAACTATTTCGAATTATGAATGTGTTAGAGATTTCATTGATTGAAATATTAAGTCAATACTACTACTTATAACGTAATACTAATGAACGTTTTGGTGTTTATTTATTATAGATCGTCGGGGTACTATCCATTGTATCGTTAGTTCATGGACATCCTGTCAAAGACCAGGAACTGGAATCAGCTGTGAACGGCGTACAGAAGTACTTGGAATCGTCTGGTTTCCCGAAAATGACTCGGGGTGAAGTCATAGACTTCCTCAAAGACTTTTCACAAGGTGCTCGCGTGAGCCGTGGTTTCGACGGTTTCGGTAAACATGAAAAAGATTCGGCGGTGGTGTCTTCGCCACAGTCGGCAGCTCGTGTGCGCAAGGAATTACAAGGAACTAACGTCCCACTCGTGCCAGCCATCCCAGAAGGAGAGTCGCCTCTTAACTACGGATACCCGGCTAGTCTGGACAAGGCGATGCCGCGAATTCCGTCCACGACCACTGCTCCTATGATATTCGTGACGGTGCAAAGTAAAAAGGCATCGACGCCAAAGGTCGCCAAAACGGTAGAGTCACTGTTCCAAAGTGGCGCAGACGGTAAACCGGTAATGAAGAAGAGCGTAGGCCCGCCAATGGATTTGAACGCTTACGCTAAGTTTAAGAAGATCCCCGAAGGCAGGAGCGTACAAATAGAAAATGTCGAAATGAAAACGCTTTTGGCATCGTACGGACTGTTGGACACTCCGAATGTATCGACGGATAAACCGAAACAAGCGGAAAGGCGCAACGACAAAGATGCTGACCACATGGAAACTGCGGACGAGACCGTACTCAAGTCAGTGCTAGTCGAGACCGGTAACGGAGACATGAACGTGTCTCAAATCAGACCGTTGTTTGACGACCTCGAGCGCTCGTCTAGGGACCACGTGTTCAACCCTTCCGACTCCACAGTCAAGACCATCGATGTGAACAAAATAGCAAAAATCGTGGAGAACATAAAGCTGCTGGCCGACGGTAACAGTACAACTTCTTTGTCCCAGGACGTGATCCAAAAGAAATTGGAGAACATCACGGCGTCTATAATATCCATCGACGAGCCGTCCAGGCCCGAAAACGCTTCGTTCACCGGATACGAGGTGTTTTTCGACGACGACACTAAGGATGTGGACTCGGACTTGCCCGCCGGCCCTCCGGAGTCGTCAGCACCGGGACACAAAACTCTTAACCAGGCGCAGAATCCGCCTGACCCGTTATCCACAGACGAACTGCAACATTTGTTCGAAAAAAACAAAAATGAGTTCAAACGACAGGAACCGGAAAATCTGACATCGACCACGACTGCCGCCATTGCATCCGACGGAGTACCAACTACGACCGTGGGAGCCGATACGTCTTCCGAAGCGACCTCGGTCGAGGTAACTGCCAATTCCGCGGTAACAGACTCCTCGTCCGAAGCGACCTCGGTTGAGGTATCTTCGGTCGGCAGCGGTTCCACGGTCAGCGAAGAATCAGCCAGGGACTCGTCGACGGCCGCCGCTACCGACGCCAGTCCGAGTCTTTCCCAGCTGGCTGAGTCGTTTGGAGGCGGAGAAACGGCTAGCAACCCTCCGCCGCCGATCGACACCGAAGAACCCAAATCGGACCGTCCCAGAAACGGATTGTACTTCTACGTGGACTGGAATTCGTTTTTGACCGTCAACGAAGGACAAAGTAATCAAGTGAACTTGAGGTTCGCCCCAAAAGCCGGAAACCCGGCTCATTTCTTCAAAGTCTCGGTACCTTAACTCTGTGCCTAGATAAAACGAAAATAAATTTTTTGTTTTTTTTGATTTTTTCTCAAAATATTTTTACACTAATTAACTGGTGTCTCGTAAAAAAGTGTCATAATTGACAATTGCACGGCGTAGTGTTGTAATTGGTTTTATATTTATTATAACTATTATTTATAACTATTATTTATACATATTATATAATTTTAAAGTAAAAACTAATAATGCTGTAACATTTAAACACCCTAACCTTTATTTAAATGTAATATTTATGGTCTAATATTTTTTTAAATTTATTTTGCTAATCCGAAAAAAAAATCCAAACGCATAACTATAACAAAAACTCCAGACGGCTTTTAAAATTCGCTTTGAATGTCTACCGACTGCAAAAAATAAATATTAATGCACAAGTGCCTGCCGCCACCATATACCGTACTCTTTCGCGAAATAAGTGTTAACCCTCCATTAAAGTATTTCTTCAATGCCCCCTATGTTTTATAATGCTCCGCCCATGTTAATACGGAGTAACGATTTTTTTCCTATTCAGTGGTCCCCGAGTAATTATTCACATTTGTTAAGTAACGAGATTGAGAAAAAATACGAACCCTTGATATTGTACATGATGGCAACTCCGCAATTAAAAGAATAATTATGAATACTATGTACAACTAGTTTGACTATCAAATAAAATAGCTCAGTCTCACTTTATAATTTTTACTATACATTTTATTGGTGATGATCGGTAAAATACTTGAGGACCGGAAAACAATTTTGCTAACAACAAACAGTATAATAAAATAGATTTTAGGATTTAGATAAGTGTAACTTACCTTAGATTATTATAAAAATGTAGACTTTTAATTATTGTGTATGTTCGTGACTGCAAATCAATTTACAAATTATATTGTATCTAACTATGATAGATTAATAATTAACATTTATCGATTATTGTAATTATTATTATTATTATTATTATTTTTACTATTAGGTATTATAATAATTAGATTATTCTAAAATTGTAAAATTGTAAATATTTTATAACATTTTCTTCACGTATACTGTACTGTTAGGTTAGGTAAAAATAAATTGTATTTATTTAACAGTTAAAAACGTTTATAATTATTATTAACATTTAACTATATGTGTTGGGTTATAAATTATTATACAACAAAAACAAATATGGTGAAAATCTAAAAAATTTCAATTTTAGGTTTATGGTTCTATTATTTTTTCGGAAGACGAAAATTATAACACATTTTATCAAAATGTAGTTACATCTAATTATTTTATATTGTAGATAATGCAATCTACTAGTTGTCGTTTTAATGCGTAAATATGTATTATACAATAAATAGGTTTTATAACCAATTATATTATTATGTGAAACTCATTTACATTTTTCTGTGCTATTAAAAACAAAAATAACGTTATTTTATTTCAATTTACTTTAAAGTGAAATTTGTAACTATCAATCAACATTTTAGAAAGTTAATTACTATTAATTACAAATTATTTGACATTGTCAATTACTTAATTACTATTTATTTAGATATTTTGTTTTTAAAACAAGTTTTTTTAAATAAAATGTACTTAATACATTGTACAAATACATATTTATCATTTCTTTTTTTTGTTAAACTAATTAAAAATAATGAAGCACAACTATTTATTATTATTTTTAGCTTGTCAAATCAAATCATCAGTAGAGCAATTACTAATTACTTGTATGAGTACTTAAACTTAACTAAAATATTTAATTATTACCTTTTAGGCAATCATAAAATGATAATTGTAAATTCGTGTGACGTTTACTAACTGACCAATATCAAAATACTTACTAGTTACTACCATAGTGCGGTTTTATTGATTCTAAAAAGAGACAAGATACTAAAATACAGAACTGTATCTGACGTGCAATACTATAAAAGATGACCATTTATATGAGTAAAAAACAAAACTATGTCAAAAAAAAAGCTTTTACGAATTATTTTGTTGGTTTTTCAAATACATCAACGACAAATACAAGTATATATATATATATATTTACAGACAGGAAAACGAAAAAAGGATGAACAATTTCAAACCCTTCGTCACAATCGGAGTGCCATTAGGGTGATATTACAGCGATTGAATAAAACCATTCAGACATCAACTGTTACCAAAATGATGTGGATTTAAGTTAAGGGCGTACTTGTGATGCTTTTAAGAATTATTATTTTTTTTCTAAAGTAATATTAATATTTCCATTGAAATTAATTTAAAATATACTTTTTTATTGTTTACCTTTACTTTGTAGGAAAATGTATTAAACTGAATTACTTAACATACAAATTGTTTAACCTATTGTATTTTTATACTAAACGAATATACAATTTTTCTTAAAGTCGTAGCACAACTATTTTTCTATAGAATGCAAATAATAGGTTGATATAACTTATAATATTAATTAATATGATTATTGTTCTAAACTAATGATAGGTACTAAAATATTTCGTAATTTATTTATAGTATATTCGTCGTCAAACATTCACTTTTCTGTTGTCTAAACTATATTGTTTTGCATAAATATGAAACTACTTTTAAATTATATTTACTGTTTAACATTAATATTTTTATTACTAAGTTATTATTTATGCAAATAAAAATAGTACTGAAGAAAGTCATGAGACCTATGGAATCTTGGTATATATTTAACCGAGTAGACGAAAACATTACAGAATAAAATACATTTTTTACAGGTATTCCGTATATTGAAAAAAAACCATTAACATTTTCAGCCTTTACAGTTATAAATTACAAAATTAAATCAATGTGATAATTTAAAAAAATCGATTTAAATTTTTTTAATGTTAACTACTGATTAAATATATTTAGAAGTAAGGAGTTTTACTCAAAAGGAACATTTTGTAGAATAATCGTGTATGAATATATGAAAAAATCTAAATGAACGTTATTCATAACAAAATTGCTTTCATACTTCGTTTAACTTTGCTCGCCACCTTTTCAAATGTCACTTCCCAACATCGTCGTCTTTAGTCCCCTTTTTTACTACTTTACAATGTACTGTGTGATTGCTCAATAAAATAGTTTTTATGGTCGAAAAAAAGTTAATACAAATATATATATATATATAAAAAAGGCCAAAATATTTTTTTATTTATTTGTATTTGCTATTTTCAATCATGCAAATCCAAAATATGTATTATGGGTTTTATGTAACAATTTTTATAATAATATCATAATAATGTTTGTGTAAATAATATTTTTGACCCGTAGATTGCATGAACAAAAAAGGTAATACCTACAATTATTCATAAATTACCGCTTTAAACTAATTTAAAAATAAGTTCTCCACCATACATATTAAAGTCATCGGATGTAATAATATTACGGTTTACTTATTTATCGTATCAATAAATTTATTTACTATAAAAATTGGTCACCATATTATTTTTGAGATGGGATTGGTACTAGAATATTATATTATTATAAATGGACATTGTCTGGCCCTTGTCCGTTGTTTTGACGCTTCATTATTAGGAATTTAATATAGTTTGATACGTTTTAGTATTGCTTATTTACAGTATAACCTAACCCACTCCTCACCACCGTCAAATAAAATTTGCATCAAATTTGGTGACAAATAAATTGCAACCGTTTGGACGGCTAAAAAGAAATCTTTGCCATGATTATGGTATACTGTAAGTGCCTCTCAACCAATAAAAATTACTTTATCTAATAGTTATAAATAGTATTTGGTGCACAACTTAAGTAATTAGTAAAACTATGGATCTAAAAGTAAATTTCGATGATCATATTTGAAAAACTAGTATAATAAGGACATTGGAATCGTGGAGGTCACAGGGTTCAGGAATTTTACAACTGAAAGTGATAACTACTTTCATAAAAAAGCTTCGGGCGAATCTCAGGAACATGCGACGGCAGGAACATTAAAATCGTTATCGGTTAAAACCACTGAGAAGGCCAAAATCAGTATGAAATTGTCTTTTTTTAAGAAAATTGCATCTATATGCTTTATTCTAATTTTGAGACCTTAAGCCCCAAAACTACACATAAAAAGTAAAATAAAGAAAAAGAATCTCTTTTTAGGGAATAGGGTTTTTGGTAGAAATTATAAGTTGAAAAATATATAAACTTTTTGAGTAGAAGGGGTGAACTTTTTAAATTAATAACCCTTTTAAGTACCTTTCAGGTATCATTTCTGATTTTTAGACTTACTTTTAGTACGTTGATATTATGGCGTTAAAATGGTTTGAAATTAAGTCGAGTTGAAAATTAAACGCATTCATGGTCATGTAAACACATAAACACTGTTTAAAAATTTCATTAAATTATAACGCTCACGCTATGTAGTTTAAGAAATTAAAACCGTTTTAAACGTCTTTAAACGATTTATCTATTGTACATATGAACGCGGTTTTTTCATTTTACATTTTTATTATCACGATCATACCAGAGTTATTAGTATTCGTTAAAAATATTCACTAAACCGATTTATTATATGGACATATAAACGGATATAATTAGTTATTAAGCTTAACCGTTTTAAGAAATTAAAAAACGTTTTAAACTTAAACCATTTTAACGCTATCATATTAATGTACTGTATATGAAGAAATCGGTTCAGCGGGTTAAAAGATAACAGGGTCCAAACACAAAAAGAAAAATCACATTCTAATATTGTCGAAAAGAACACTCTTCTCAGCTCCGCTTTGAAGCGAAAATGTTGTACTTGACTATTCTACTATAAACTTCAATGAATACACGATTTGTTGGTTTTGCAAAAAAAAAATACTTTCTATTCTTAATCAGATAGTAGGTACTCTTAACACATTTTTATCAAAAATGTAATTTTAATTTACCTATCGAATTATTATTTGTATTATATGAGTTATTGAATAGATAATATAGAATATGAGTTATTGTATACAAATAAAATTTGAACTAAACACTTTTATCGCTATTGGTTGTTCATTATGAGATAAACAATATAATATATAAGAAGTTAATAAAAGTAGTACAAGATAATAATATAAATTATTTAAAAATTAATAAGTGGAAAACATATTAATTTTGCAAACTATAACAAGAGAAAAATACAAATTACATAATTATTAAAGGTACATCTTTAAAATACATTATAAGGTTATTTTGTAATTTTTATCCAATATCAACAATATAAACTAAAAAATGTACGCTAGAAACACGTCTTCTAAATACTTTATATCCGACATAGGAACAGTTTAAAATTATATTAAAAATAATAATTTTTTAAAATTAAAAGCTAAGAGGATTTAGGTTTAAGGTTGATGTTAATAACACTTCTTTCTTAGCTAAATGTAGGATAACTACTGTGGGCATACTTAATTAAATATTTAAATCCAGACGGGTTAAAAATTATTTTACTTCCTAATGAAACATATTATTATCTAACTAAATATACGATGATACCGAAGGAGTAAAAGGCTTATCAGACCGTGCAACCCATTGTTCCGGTAACCAATCTCGATTTGTCGAGCCCTCGACATGCTTACAAAAAAGTCATAAGTGTACAAAACACAAAGGCATTTTTCCTTTCATGATTTTTATATCCTAGCTAGTGTATTGTTATAATTATTTACTCTACCACAGAGATGGCGGGAGCTGGTAAAATCGACCAAGATTATTGCAGCGGTAATGGTCGTGGTGCTGCTATTTCTGTATTTGCGAGAGGTGTTATGAGATATTATTGTACATAGGACGCCGTGACAGCGCCAGAAAGGATTGTTAAGAACTATACATTGAATGAACAAACTCTTGAACTGTGAAAAAACCGTACATCCCGCAAATAAACAATCAACGCCTATAAGAACAAAAATAAAAAAAAATGAAGCAAAGAAAGAAAAAAATGCTTCGTGTTATTTGTTTTTTTTTTTGTTTGTCTGTCCTTTATTACCGATACGTGTTTATAAACATGGAAACTTGATCTGATGTGGTGA